TTTTTTTTTTTTTTTGCGGTACGCGGGCCTCTCACTGCCGTGGCCCCCTAGTTGCAGAGCACAGGCTCCAGACGCTCAGGCCCAGCGGCCACGGCTCACAGGCCCCGCCGCTCTGCGGCACGCGGGATCCTCCCAGACCGGGGCACGAACCCGCGTCCCCTGCATCGGCAGGCGGACCCCCAACCACTGCGCCACCCGGGAAGCCCCTGTCATGGTCCTTTATTCTTTTATTACTCTACTAGAACCAGTAGGATTATTTAGATTATTGCATCGTTCATAAATAAAATTGTTAGTTTTTTATTACGTTCTCTATTCTTACATAGTCTGGAATCCAAGTAGTTTCATTAGAATAAAATAAGAATTTTAACATATTTTCTTTGCTCTGATATAGTTTAAATGATCTGTCTTTTGTAAGTTTGATAGAATTTGCCTATAAAAACTATCAAGGATTATCACCTTTTTTTGGGCAGAGGGAGCTAAATATTTGACAACTTTTTCACTTCCTTCTATGGGGTGAATAGATTCAGTGTTTCTATCTGCACCTCAGTTAGGGGTCAGTTGAGAATAACAGAAACTACTATAGCCAATTTAAGCAGAAAAGGATTTACATGGGGGAATTAGTGCTTATAAAATTATTGGAAGGGCTAGAGGGGTGGACGCCAGGGGCAATTCCCAGAACACTATAGAACTCCCCACGGGAGCTTCCACCAGTGCCTTGGTCAGCAGACTGGTATCAGGAAGCCAGTGCCCAATTGCAGGGTGCCAGTCCACACTACTTGCCACCAGCTGGATGCTCTATGCCCTTCCTCTTGACACCCATGTAGTTATAAACTGCTATCTTTTACTTTGAACTTTGTATTTGGGAATAATTTTAGATTTACGGAAAAATTGCAAAGATGTTACAGAAAGTTCCCGTATTGACATCTATATAGCTTCCCCTAATATTAACATCTTACGTTTATTAAAACTAAAAAATTAATGTTGGCACCAAACTTTTAACTACAGACTTTATTCAGATTCCATTAGATTTCTAACTAATGTCCTTTCTCTGTTCCAGGATCCAATCCAGGATCCCCCACTGTATTTAGCAATTTTTTTAAATGAAATCATTAACGCCCTTGCGCATTCTTTTGAGTATCCTTTGGGCAAATCCCACAGGTTTTAATAGGCAGTGATCTCACTTTTGCACTTTTCTAAATAGTCTGAATTTTTGGTTTTGATTTCCACCTTGATCTGAGTTACATAGAACGTCAAAACTGTTAATAATCCATGTTGGTTTGATTTCAGTTTGGGATATCTTTTAATTTCCACTCTCTGTTTTTATTGCATTGTGATCAGAAAATGTGGCATGTTTTTCTCTCTCATTAAAAACATGTTGTTAAGTATGGAGAATAATCTAATTTTTAATTTTTTGAGCAATTGCCATATTGTTTTCCACATTGGCTGCATCATTTTACATTCCCACCAAGAGTGCACAAGGGTTCCAATTTCTCTACCTCCTCACGAACATTTGTTATTTTATGTTTTTTAGAAAATAATAACCGTTGTGGCTTTGATGTACATTTCCATCATTAACTTTTATAGGAGTATTTTAATAGGTGAACAATGTAGTGTTTGGAATAAAACTGATACTATTATCTGCTGCATATCACATAACCCTACTTAGTGAAAGAGGCTGAAAAAGTTCAACAAGAGACGAGATTCATTTGAGGTGGGACATTGAAATGGAGGTGCCGTGACGTTAGCGCATGGCCTTTGGAGCCAGACACACCAAGGTGGATCCTGCCTGCCACATCCTAGCTGTTTAACTGAGCAAGTTGCTTTTTCAGCAAGCTTTACCTCCCTCATCTGTAAAATGGGGATTCATGCTGTGGTCAGATGTTGTGAGGCTTAAATGAGAATTCATGGCAGATCTAGCACAGTGCTTGGCATGTTGTGATCCTCAATAAATGGTAGCTGTTATGATGATTGTGAGCTTTGCTCCAGGGGTTTCCAAGACCCCACCCCATACCCCCCAGCCAAAAGCTCCACCACTGTGTTGCTTCCGGAGACCCAGCAGAGGTGTCGCTGTTCTCTCTCTGCCTGTGCCTGATGGGAAGCTTATCTTGGCTCAGCCCCGTGCGGTGCAGGGAGATTAGACAGGTTGGTGGCTGGGCCTGGCAGATGCACATTTTTAAAAACCTGCAGAATCACATTTAGGGTGGGTTGACACAACCCAAAGTGGCAAGAAAATGTTCCAGGAAGTAGAGGGACAGGATGAGGTCATGGAGAGACCGTGGACAGGGGGCCAAGATGCCTGGGTTCCACACTCAGCGTCGTCCTGACGCACTTTGCCTTCATCTGTCTCGTCCCACACAAGGCAGAAGTGCAAGTCCTTACAAGGCCCACAAGGCTCATGAGGTTTAAGCAGGTCAGCTCCCCACCTGTCCTCCTTGCCCTTGAAGATGTGGGAGAGGGACATGACCTTGGTAATTTCTAGTCTCTTGACCCGTTCAGGAATGGCAACCAACTCAGACCTTCCTAAGAAAGCCCGATTTCAGGCTGATCGTGGGGGGCAGGGGGAGGGCAAAGAGAAGCTCTGACTTTTGCTGCATTTGGAGCTTGGAGAATTAAACCTGAGGCTCTTGGGAGCACAGAGTGGGAAGTGGAATCAACATAGAGGAAAGCAGAACAGAGATGGAGAGGGAGACTGTTAGAACTCCTCTGGCTGCAAGTGATCGACACTTAAGCATAAAGGGTGTTACTGGTTTATGTGCCTGAACAGTCCGGAGTAGACGTCCCGCCGTGTCTGCCCCCAGCACCTGCGGCGCCATCAGCTTGGCCCCTGCCTTTGTCCTCCAGCCCGTCTCTGGGGCGGTCATTTGGCTGTGTCCCTGCCCCCACCATGTCAGCTAAATTCCTGAGCATCTTCCTATGGGTGGCAGCCCCACCTTTCTCTCCCCCCTGCCCCTCCTAAGACAAGGATGTGTGGGTGAGACCCTCCAGCTCTGCTTTGACACAGGAAACTATTCAAGGTGAGCTCAAAACAGTGCAGGAAAGGTCTAAACACCACTTAATGTTAGCTTGAACAGAAAAAATATTCAACTGATATTTAGTTCTTTGAAATCTGAACTTTTGGGCTTCCCTGGTGGTGCAGTGAGAGTTGAGAGTCCGCCTGCCGATGCAGGGGACACGGGTTCGTGCCGCAGTCCGGGAAGATCCCACATGCCGCGGAGCGGCTGGGCCCGTGAGCCATGGCCGCTGAGCCTGCGCGTCCGGAGCCTGTGCTCCGCAACGGGAGAGGCCACACCAGTGAGAGGCCCGCGTACCACAAAAAAAAAAAAAAAAAAAAAAATCTGAACTTTTTCAGGAATTCCCTGGCTTTCCAGTGGTTAGGACTCTGCACTTTCACTACCAAGGGCTCGGGTTCAATCCCTGATTGGGGAACTAAGATCCCACAAGCCGTGTGGCATGGCCAAAATAATAAATTTTTTAAAATCTCAACTTTTTACTTACTTCCTTATAAAAAGAGCCTAGTGATTAAAATAGGGCTCGACAACAAAAGACATCTCTTTGGTATTTAGACAATATTCCCTTAAAAATGGTATATACACACATATGTAAAATCATACATACATATGGTACACAAAAAACAAAACCTTAAAAACCATGTGTTCTTAAGTATTTAAGACATTTTATTGCACATGTATTTAAATTCCTATAAGGGGTTTAAGCCGTATTTACAGACATATCATAACTGACTCATGCAGTTCCTGCAGTTCACCACCCTTCCCCCACCCTGCCCTGTTCAGGGAGGATGCCCTGAGTGGGTGGCATCTGAGAGCTTCCCTGGGTCTGGCTCTCAGGGGTTTGGCCGATGGGAGCATCATGGGACACTGGAAGAAGGGAGGAGACGGGTGGGGTAGTTATTCCCCTGGCTCTCTCCCTCAAGGGTCACCAAGGCTGTTGACATCGACCAAGGTCCCAGCTCCTGTCGGGCAGCCTTCCCTACAGGCCCAAACCTGGGTCTGGTAACTGCGCTCTCTCCCTCCCCTACAGAGATCGGGGTGGAAGGGCACCTGCTGTTCCCAGCCCTGGGCTCCCGCTCTGGCGTCACCTCCAGCCGCAAAGGATTCCCTTATTCAACTCTTCTCAGATGAACCCACTGGAGCGTGCCAGCTGTTTCCCGCCCGGGCACTGGCTGATAGCCCCAGGGTTTCAACTCACTTCTTCACTAACTTCTCTACCTGTTTAGACGCCTTTCCAGAGTTACAGTAATCTTACAAGACCAAAATTAGAAGTGTTTCCTCACACGAGCAGGTCCAGATTGTGAGTTGACACCGGTGGCGCCACGATCAGGGATGGGAAGTGGTCTCTGTCTGAAGTGATCCAGACCCTGCTGAGCCTTGGGGATTGTTTTATGGGGTCAGCACGACGTATTTTCCCCTTGGGATTGTAACATCCCGAGCTGACCACTCTCTCCAGTTTGCTAGGCCCTACACACTGGGCTTTTCATCCCTCCTTAAAGGATCACCCAGAGGTCACCCTCCAATCACTCACGAGTCCCGCTATTCTCCCTCCTTCCATATTTGAACCTCCTCCTGCCTTTCCACTGCCGGTGGGCTGTGGCAGGGGCTTCCCAAGGCTTCCCACTCTGGCCCCTCCACTCCATGTGCGTCGCAGGACAGGAGTAATCCAGCTCATTGAAGCACCAGCCCTCTCCTCAAACCCACCCGCCCCAGCTCCAGGTGCAGTCCCGCAGTTTACCTTGGCCCTGAGCCCCCTGCAGCCACCTGAGGCCGCAGCCCCCCGCCCCACCCTCTGCTCCAGCACCGTGGACCCACTTGTCCCGTGCTCACCACCCAGCTCTGCCTGGACGCCCTCGCGCACACCTCCCCGCTTCCTCCTCGAGTTCCCCACCCGTTTTCAAGCACGCAGCTCAGGCACCATCTCTAGGGAGCCGCTCCTGGTCCCCCTCTTACCTGTGGAGGGCTCTTGTCCTGCCCACCTCAGTTCCCGCGGTGTTGGGAGCCAGGCTCTCCAATTTTCCTATCAGCTCCAGTCTCCATCTCATGAATTATTTTCTGCTTGCGGGTTGTAGTTGCTGGCAACCCAGAGCCCTGACGCACACTCACTGGAACAAGCCACCCCTTCTCCACAATGCTCCCAGGAGACCCTGTTGGTGGCATCCCAACCCTCTTCTTAAGGTCACTGTTGTGGCCTCTCCCATTGCGGAGCACAGGCTCCGGACGCACAGGCTCAGCAGCCATGGCTCACGGGCCCAGCCGCTCTGCGGCATGTGGGATCTTCCCGGACCGGGGCACGAACCCGTGTCCCCTGCATCAGCAGGCGGACTCCCAACCACTGCACCACCAGGGAAGCCTGAGCCTTAGATCTTGGGTCTGCATCCTCAGGGGCCAGCCCAGATGCTCAGTGTTTGGAGAACTAATTCATTCTGTAGCCTTGGCCATCAACAATCCCGAGCTAGAGCCCTATCTGCTACAGCCTTTCTCTGACTGGGTGCCAGGGGCTCGGCAAGGGCGTTAGAGCAGCTCATCCATTAGAGCAGCTCTCTTTCTTCCTTCAGACTTTGGTTCAAGGAATTCCAAATACAGTGTCATTGTCTGGGTGCCACAAGCAGGAATAATGGCTTTGACTTCAGTCCCTGGGCTACTCCTCATACCTGAGGAAACAAAACCACTTAAGAACCCAACGTTATTGGTTTACCTTTGGGTCCCTTGTATGGGTTGCTTCAACTGCATCTATTTCCAGTGGCTTGTTTTGAGCTTTCTGTCAAAGGAAGAAACAGATCCATCTATCGGTCCCTGGTTACATCGCTGCTGTGTTTAATGACCCAGCGCCCTGAGATTTCAGCTGACTGTCAGAGCTGCCTGGCAAGGGAAGAAGAGACCCCACTGACAGTGAACCTGGACAGTCCACCCTGCTTTCAGGGTGACCCCTCGGTCACCTTTGTCTGAGGCACTGCTCCTGAGCCTTGGGAGAATGGCTCTTTGGGGCAGCTTGCATGGGGCCAGGGCTGACTTTCAGAAGCACCAAGGACAGCTGCCAACCTGGTTGGCCTTACAGGGTCCCCACAAGGCCACGGGGACTCTATTTCCCCCTCTGAACACTCGTCCCTGAGAGATGCTCCTTGACAAAGGATGCTGGGAAATGTTACCTTCTCATCACCCTCCCAGAGGTCACGTTAGCCGATTAAAGGCTTGAGAATCCTGCAGGAAAGAACTCCGTTAACCTCAGTGGCCGAGACTAAAATTGGTGGCCTGTACCCTGGGCTCCTGGACCACCACCTGGCCTTCATCCTCTGGATCTTCCTCAGCTGTAGGAGGAGGTGTGGGAAGAAGACCCCACTCCACTCCCCCTGGCCTTGCCAGGAAGATGGAGAAACCATTCAAGCTCAACTTCTTTCTTCCAGCACCATGGATGCGTTAAGAGAGAAAAAGCATTTGAACCAAAAGAGTTATAAACATACACATATATGTGTGTGCATGTGTGTATACATGTATGTATATGTGTGTGTGTATATGTGTGTGTGTATATATGTATATATATGCACCCTTCATTCCACTGAAAGCCCCGTCTCCCACTCTGGGACCTCCAACGTGTCCACTCATCCTTGACCAGTGGTAGAACTGATGACCACTCACATTGACTGAGCACAGGCTGTGAGGTGTGTGTGCCCCATCTCTTGGTTCAGGTCTCAACCCTTATTGCCTTTACACAATTGCAGAGCACACTCCTCAGCCCATAACAGTGCTCCAGAGGTCGAATGGAACACTGTGTTGTGTTTTCATCTTTGGGAGTATACATCTTATGCATCTTTGTATTTCCTACTGCCCTGAGCACAGTGCCTTGCCCCTGGTAGCACCTGATAAACGCTAATTTAGTTAAGTGAGGTTGAAGGAACAAGCCAGCGGTGGTGTGAATTTGGGGGATGGGGCACGTCTCCTAAGCCCTCCTCAAATAAACATACAACTCAAATCAAACAGTGCATTTTCCAAAGGGCATCCGTCAAGGCCCATAGCCACTCCAAGTCCCTCCACGTAAGGGCAGGTGGGCGCCCCTCGGCCCCTCCCATATAGAGGTTCTGGGAGCGCATACTCTGCGGGAACTGGGATTGTTGTCCTGGAAAACGTTTACCACTAGTGGCCAGCAGGGAGTGTGCTTAGCCTTTGTGACATGAATGAGTTCTGGCCCTCAAGGCTGGGAGCCAACAGAAGGCAGCCTCGCTGCTCTCCAGGAGCTGTGAGAGCGACTGTGTTATAAAATATGACAGAAAGAAAGCGACACTGGAGAAGGGAGCTCGGGCCACACAGGCCGAGGCCGAGAGTAGTGGCACAGTTGTTCATCACAGAGAAGACACCAGGCTGCGTGCTTACTACAAAGGAGACATTTTAATCCATAAAATAGTTATTGATACAGTCATGGTGAGCATCAAAGGGGGCCTGATTTTGGAAGCAGGCAGACCTGTGTTGAATTCCCCTTCTCCATCGGCTGGTGCGACCCTGGGAAGCTGTGTTCTCAGTGCAACAGCCACCTGGCTAAGGCACTTCGTCCATGTGCATTGTTCAGTCCTTAGGGCAGGACTTGGAGGAGGGCCATGGTGTGAGGCACACGCCAGCTGTGTGACCCTGGGCAAGGTATTTACACCCTCTCCAGGCCTCAGCTTGCTCATCCTGAAGGATGGCATTTAGACTGTGTCATTGCGAAGGGTCCTTTGAGCTCTGTCCCACTCTGCTTTCTAATCCTGTTGATGAGTCCAGAGCCAGAAGGTAAAACCGGGTTGTGCAGTGCGTAAGAAATAAGTCCTGGGGCTTCCCTGGTGGCACAGTGGTTGAGAGCCCGCCTGCCGATGCAGGGGACGCAGGTTCGTGCCCCGGTCCGGGAAGGTCCCACATGCCGCGGAGCGGCTGGGCCCGTGAGCCATGGCCGCTGAGCCTGCGCGTCCGGAGCCTGTGCTCCGCAACGGGAGAAGCCACAACAGTGAGAGGCCCGCGTACCGCAAAAAATAAATAAATAAAATAAAATAAGTCTCCCTGCAATGCAATGATAGGGAGACTGGGGGCAGATGTGAGCCGTGCAGCTTTCTGGAAGAATGATGCAGACACAGTGAGTGGAAAGGCCCTGAGGTGCGTGTGTGTCTGGTTGAGGCCGAGCAAGGCCTCCAGCGAGGCTGGAGAGAGATAAGAAAGGGCAATGGAGGTAGTCAAAAGTGGCCAGATTCTAGATATGTAGTTGGAAGGCAGAACTAAGGGAATCTCTGGTGGTTTGAAGGTGGGACGTGAGAGAAGAGGAGTCAAGGAGGACCCCAAGTAACTGAGTGGCTGGAATAATAAAGAGTTTAGAATGATGCTGTAGCATCAAGAAGAGGCCAGCTGTTCTCTCCTCTGTAGCCCGTAGCCTCTGTGGACCTTTGCCCAGTGGTCTGGGTGGCATGCCTGTGCCAGAGTTATAGGGGTAAAGACAGAAGGCAGTATGACAGAACTACTTTACAGTGTACCAAGATACGGAAGCCAGCACCTCCTTCTGTTTCCATGAAGGAAAGTACACAATGCTTTAAACTTTTTATTTTGAAATACTTTTAGGCTTATAGAAGGTAGTACAGAGTTTCCATACTGCACACAGCTCCCCCTGCTGTTCGCAAGTGGCATAACCACAGTACAGCTACAAAAATAAGACATTAACTTTGGCGCAATGCTGCTAAAAACTGCGGACTTTACTCACATTTCCCGAGTTCTCCCGCTAGTGCTGCGTTCGCGAAGCAGGATCCCTCCCTGTGGTTCGTTGTCATGTGTCCTTGCTCTCCTCCAACCTGAGACAGCTGCTCGGTCTCCCTGGCAACCGCCAGGCAGCTCTCTCCTTTCTCCTTGGGCCCCAGGTCTGGGCAGGAGTCTGGGGCCGGGGTGAAGCTCTGGCTGCCCACCCAGGGAGCCTGCCCAAGAGAGGAGCAGCCCAAGCTGGGTCTTTCCCTGGCCTGGGGCCACTGCACTGGTCCGCAGCTCACTGGAGCTCC